GTCCCATTTCCCTTAGTCCAGTCCTGGAAGAAGTGTAGCTGGGGTTTCAGTAGAGCTAGAAGCAAAGCCAGTGTCCAGGGTTTCCTTCCCATGTTGCAGTGGGTCCTTTCTCTATCAGGTTAGCAGCAGTCCATTAGTGGGGGTGGGGGGGTTGTCCACATGGGGGTTGTCCACATGGGGGTTGTCCATGGGCCATGTGGGCCAATGCAGGGGAGCCAAGAGAGCACACCCCCTGCAACAAGAGTACCAAGAGCATAAGGGAAACTAAAAGAGTGAATTCCTTTGTTTAGCAGGGGTGGGGAACATGGGGCCTACAGGCTGTATCTGGTCTGGCCCTGCCAAGGCAACCACAGGTGGGACTCAAAATTCAATAAATCCAGGAGCTTTTTTCATAGCTAATTTTTAAGCTGATAATTTTTGTATGGCCCGTGAATGATGTTATAAATATCCAAGCTACCCTTGCCAGGAAAAAGGTTCCCCGCCCCTGGTTTAGGGGATTGAATACTCCCAATTTTTGGCCCTTGCAGTGGTCACACCCATTCTGGCCAATGACCTGTTCCCACGAGTGACTGAGACAAATATACCTTCCCAGCATCATCCCAACTTTACTGGGCGTGCATCTGTTCTCCTCCTTGTCCAGTCCCTTCCCCCAGCGATCTGCAGGGAATAGACCCATGGCTCCCTGGGGAGTGTAAAGCTTTAGCTTCCTGGTGAAGCTGCCCCAATGGCATGCCTATAATATTTGGCCTTCTCTTTCTTTTCTATTATTAATAACTAGGTTAGTTATAACGGTATCAGTACCACTTCCTTTTATTTGCATTTGCATTGACAAGAACTTAGCCACATAGGTGCACCTCATCCACAAAAGGGGACTAGGAAATGTCTCCAGGTAGGCACCCATGTTCTCTGCTAAAACACAGTGAAGGTGGGCAGGGGGGTTCTTAAAAAGGGAGGCGGAGGGTAAATGGACACTGGGGAGAAACACCAGTCTATCCCATGGCTAACAATTCCTTTAGCCATTTCTTCAATTTGTTAAAAACAAAGAATTTGAAACCACTTGATTTACAAATGGATTTTCTTACCTTCAATTAGGCCTGATAATTCAAATCATCCCTGTGATTCCCTGGAGGTTTTATGCCCCAGGACAATGTCCCAAAGTAAGAGCCAGGACGAGTGAGAAGTCTGCTTCTCATTTCTAAGGCGGGAAAGGAGAATCAGCAGAAGGTCTCCAACCACAGGCGGCTTCTCGTGCAAATTTTTCATGCCCTCTGATGCAAATCAAATTTAGGAAGGAATATAACTGTAAGTTAAGGATCAAAAAATGAATCCATTTAATTAATTGTGCCCACATGCTTCTTTGAAAGTCTTTAATGCCTCCAAAGTTATGCATTCAGTTTTAAGGAAATTACTTTAGAACACTTTAACTCTCTGTTCCTGGTTCACACATGTATCAGCCAGCATTTCAGTTGTCATTTTTACTAATCCCACAAAGAGACACAGTTAAAATGTTAACCTCAGGTTAGGTCTTTTCTGAAAATTTTCATTGTAAAAATATATAGTATATAAAACACATAATGAAAGTCCTTTTGGTCCCTAAACTCACCATATCATTCTCAAGGTGAAGATCCTACATTTTGACATTTCCAAATGTGGTGTGTGTGTGTCCAGACAGAAAGATAAGTAGTTTCGGGTATATACATACGCACACGTAACATTCTGTATTCAATTTTTTAAATTATAAAAGTATTACAAGCTCATCTTAGCAAGTCAAACAACATAGTAAAAAGAACATTAATAGGTTCTCGCACTTCCCTCACAACACACCTCTTGGAGGAAAATAATATAAACAATTTGCTCTGTACCTTTGTACTCCGTCCTCTGTGATCTATCAATACACACGGTGGGGCAAAGGTAGGTTTACAGTTGTTCTTATGGAAATTAATATAATAATTAATAAATAACAACACAAGAATAAACTGTTTTGCGTACTCCCGACTGTAAGCCTCCTTTTGCCCCACCCTGTATACAACTGTCAAGGAGAAAAAATCATCCTCTGCCCTTCTAGGTTCTTCTGGCTGATGGTATAACAATCAAATTAACACAAAACAGATTAGCAGGAGAAAAAATTAAAGTTTAATAATATGCATACCTCCTGTATACATGAAAAAGGCCCAAGAACACTGAGTTACTCCCCCAAACAACAAAGCCTCACCTTTAAAACCACCTTCAGCTACACACGAAGATGATGCTGGGTTAGAGTCAGTTATGGAAAAGCACAGCAAACATTTAGATTGTCACACAAATTTAAGCCCAGGTCTTCTCCACAGATAGCGAAGGCAGGCCTGGCACTGTGAGGGAAACACCTTTACGAATGGCGATTTCCCTTACAAATGCGTATGTCCTTTTACCGAGGGCAACTTCTACTTGGTTATCAGAGCTTCTCCCAGGTCTGCTGTTTCTTAAAATTAACCAGCCTACAATCATCAATATCCCAAAGTGACATATTTTGGGGTGGCAAACATTCTAAATCTACAAAAAATGAATAGACATTTTAAAATAAAACATTATCAAGTCTATACATCATTTTCTAAGAATTAAAATATAAATCTGCTAACATTTGTCAGGCACGTATTCAAACAGAATGTAGAGAAATAGGCATGCATGCACACATGCACATGACAACACATCTCAAGTCAATGACAAAAAGACGTTGCACTCAAATGGAGTTATGGGAATCACTGGTGGTTAGCTTGAAAAAATTTACTTTATGTCTGTACCGCATACGTTACACCAAAATAAATTCCATAAAGACCAAAAAATTTAATGTAAAAAAAATGAAGAAATAAAAGTACTGGAAGAAACCATGGGAGAATTTTTTCAATGTTGGGGTGGAGAAGGCCTGTACAGCACGTCACAAAACCTGAAAGCCATCAAAGAACAGACTGATAAGTTTAATGACATGAAAAAAAAATGTTTTCTGCAAAACAAACCACAGAAAAAACAAATGATGAACTAGAAAAGTATTTCTACCTCCTGTCACAAAGGACTAATCTTTGAGTATATAAGAGCTCCTACAAATCAATCTAAAAATACCGGCAGGAAACATACTCATGTGTGGCTGGTGGAAAAGTACCTAATGCAACCTCTGGAGGACAATATGGCAACCTTCCGCAAAATAGCGAAGGCACATACCCTTTGACCAGCAATGCTTCTTCTAGAGGTTCATTAGCAAAACGATGTATGTACATGGTCATTCATTGCAGTGGGGTTTGGAAAAGATTGGAAATAACTGAAATGCTCACTAATAGGAATCTATACCAATAAATTCACATAATTATGAATACTGTGCAATTTTTATGCACTGATATGCAATGGTCTCCATGAAATATTGGTAAGCGAAAAAAGCAAAATGTAGAACAGAGTGCATTGTAATGTATCATTCTCCCTTATTCTTTTTTTAAAAAAGGGGGAAAATATGGAACTGCTTATATATGCACAGAGTATCTCTAGAAGAGATCCACAACCATCAGGCAACACTAGATTACTGTGGGGAACAGTATTAAGTCAATGGGGGCCGGAGTTGGAAAGAAACTTTTAACTGCATACCTCTCTCTTTGAATTTTGAACCCTGTGAATGTAATTACCTATTCAAACAGTTACACACTATAAAAGTATTTAAATATATATTTTAAAACATCTACAGAGGATTTTTAAAAATAAAAATGTATTTACTTTATATACACAGCTCTGAAGTGTCTTTTTTGACATAATGGTATATTATGGACATCCTTTCAGGTCCATAAAATAATAGAACTCATTTTTTAATAATATAATATTCTATTGTATGGATGAGTCAAAATTTATTCAATCATTTCCCTACTGATGAAAATGCAGGTGTTTTCTTGGTCCTGGTTTTTGTTCAGTTTGAGTTTTTCTTGATATGGCGATAAAATTTTTCTTAGCTAGGACTAGAAGATATAAACATAAGAGGTAAAACAATAAAAATATTGGAAGAGCCCTGGCTGGTGTGGCTCAGTTGTGGGCTCGTTTCCTGGTGGGGGCATGCAGGAGCAGCAGATCGATGTTTCTCTTTCTCCCTCTCCAGTCCCCTCTCTTTAAAAATCAATAAAAATAAAATAAAATTAATTAATTTTAAAAAATTATATATATGAAGAAAATTATAATCTGAGCCTGAGGGAAACTTTAATACCAAAAACACAGATGATTTAAAAGAAAAGATACAAATGTAAATTTTTCCTATGGAAAAAGAAAAAGTTAAGAGACAACACATTGTGAGGAAATATTTGTTTTTAAAAAAATGGCAGACAGATTAATATCCCTAATACAGAGAAAATTTCTAAAAGTTGAGTTAAAAAATGCTAATACTATGAACAAGCAATTAATAGAGAAGGAAATATTAATGACCAATAAACATCTGATGAAATTTTCACCCTCACCAGTCGTAGAAATGCAAAATAAAACCTAATTTTTCATCTCTCACATTGGTAAAAATGTAAAAGATATATAATATCCACTGCTGGCCAGCACACAGAAATGTATATTTTCAAACATTATTGTTAAACATATGAATTTCAACTACTTTTTAGAGAGCAATCTGATAATAGAAATTTTTAATGTTCATGTTCTTTGACCCAGAAATCCCATTTAACTTAGAAAAAAAATAATCTGAAAATACAACTTTCGGTGTCCCTCTTCTCTCTTTACCCCGTCTCCCCAGTGCACCTCACCTGACTCTCTCTCACTTCACAGCCAGGTGACGGATTCTCACACCCAAGCCCTCCTCCACCTCCATCAGACTCTAGCCAGCGGAAGCTTTACAGGGAGGCAGTCTCGGAGCCCTGCCAAGGCCTTGTCTAGGACTCCCTCTGTGCTTTCAGGACAGTGAGGCCAAGGACATCAGCAGAGCCAACATTTGCTTCAAGCTCCTGGAACTGCTGACAACGTGCAGGACACTGATGCCATCTGGCAGAGGTGCTTTGCCCTGGCCATTCTGCTGGCAATTGTGTACATCCAGCTTGGTGGTGAGGATAGCCCGTCCCCAAATCCCCCGAATATAGACAGCCATCAGGGAGAATCCTGGACTCACGAGGAGAGATGGATCCCATGATTTTTTTCTAGTGAGGAAGAAAAGGACCCACTCTTCTTGATACTAATGAAAGGGTGAAAAAGTGTTTCTTTTTCTTGGTTAAAATACTACTGCACACCCCATCAACATTCTGTCCTGTGCTGTGTGTTGCAGAGCCTGGTAGACCGGCCCTCAATCTGAGATTCCTACAGGCTCATAAACTCTAAGTTTATGAAATCCAGGTACCACATTGGTCAACTCCAGAAACCCATTTAACCACTCTGTGCTTCATATTCGTTAATCTATAAAATGGGAACAACACTACCTGTCTGTAGGGCTATCCGGAGGATTAGATATATTAAAAAGCACTTTAAAGGCCCTATACGTTCCAGATGGACAGTAAAGATAAAATACAAACCATTCCTGAACTAACGAATAGCTGAGGTTGCAGATCTCCATCAGACATGAGTATAACTCACAGACAACTCTTCTAAGAGGACAGTACTTAATATCTATGGGGCAGCCCCCATCTCTGCCCCAACATTTATAAATAAAGTGAATTTCATTCACTATGGACACCCAGAGTCCCACACTAACTCTTTCCTTCCCGTTTCAGGATGCATGGACATCCTCAGCTCAGTTTCCCAGGAAGGAAGGCGACTAAAGTTAATCTGTACTTTGCGGCATAAGAAAGAAGAGGCTGAGGGGGTTACCGTGTTTTTGTGCAAGGAGAGGCCTTGGAACTGTTCCCCGGAGACCAGCTTGGAGCAGCTGAATCTGAAACGCTATCTTGAAACAGATATTGTCAGTGAAAGATCATCTCAGTTGGTGTTCACTATAAACCAAGCCACACCCTCAGCCAGTGGGACCTACCAGTGTTGCACCAGAAGCCAGAAATCCACGTTCAAGGTCATTTTTTCTCCATTTTAGTCACAGGTGAGCTCCTAACATCCCTACTACCACAGGCGGAACACCTGCAGAGTCAGCAGCTGGAGAGGGTAGTTATTTCAGGTCCTGAATAGGCGGCCTCCTTGAGGAAGAGTTCTTCCTATCACAACCCTTTTCTATCACTCCCACTGGCAAATGCTGCTTTCCTAAGACTGTGGCCATCCCATTTTTATTGACCCTGAGACTGAGTTACGAGTAGGTAAATGCAACTTGTCCAATGCCACTCACTGACAAGGGCCAGTAAATGCAGACAGGTCTACAATTTAGGAATCCTGATTCCCAACTGAGAGCTCTGAGAGATGAGGCTGTATTTCTAAATACAGGCACTGAGCCTCTAGGCTGGGACAGAGACATTTGAGATAAAATGGATAGCTGTCTTAAAGGCCATTTAGTTATAAGAAACAGAAACCCATTCAAACTGCCACAGATTAAAGGGGGGGGGGGCAATAAAGCAAGAAGTACAGCTGGCCTTCACGAGTTCACTTCCAGAAACAGGAGCCGGAGAGCCAACAGAACCCATTACTGTCTCTATCTCTGGGGCAGCAAAGCCTCTCGTCTCTACAGATCTTCACTTTGTGCTCCCCAGCTGTAACTACTCTAGCACAGCCTGAGTATGACCACTCCAGCCTCAGCTTTAGAGTGACTGTTTTCCTACAGGCCCAGACAATGCAGCAAGCCTTCAAAACAGAAAATTATATTCTACCTAGAATTCTATGCCCAACCAAACCACTAATTAAATGTGAGGGAGGAGCCCTAGCCAGTTTGGCTCAGTGGTTAGAGCATCAGCCTATGGACTGAAGGGTCCCAGGTTCAATTCCAGCCAAGGGCACGTACCTCGGTTACAGGCTCGATCCCCAGCCCCAGGGTCAGGGCGCATGCAGGAGGCAACCAATCAATGTGTTTCTCTCACATCGATATTTCTCTCTCCCCCTCTCTCCCTCCCTCTCTCCCTCCCCCTCCCTCCCTCCCTTCCACTCCCTCTGAAAAGCAATGGAAAAAATGTCCTCGGGTGAAGATATACAAAAAAATGTGAGGGAGGAATAAAGACACAGTCAGACATGCAGTGACTCAAAACTTGTCTTCTCTGTAAACTTTTATAAGAAGCTAACAGAGAATGTGCTTCAGCAGAACTAGAAATGAATCAGTGGATGGACAAAATGGGATCCTGGACACACAGAATCCGACAGAGGAAAGCTGATAAGAAAATTCTAGAATAAAGGGTCAAAAAGAGCAATTAGCCCAGAAGAGAGCAAGGGAAAGAGGGCTCCAGAAGGAAACTCTCCAGGGGATAAAAATGGAATTGGTAGATCAGCTCTCTGAAGGTTATGACAGACCTGATGAACCGCTAGAGATATGGATATGGAAAACTGCCCGTTTAAAAAACCAGGTGAGCACTATCTCCAGGGAAAATACTAAATTTTACCAAAGGAAACAATCACAGCACACAACACGATGGTAGTACCATTTATAGAATACAAGTTATGTAAACATCAACCAAATTTTGTAATATAATTACTTTTGAAAGATGCATAGAAGGCTAGAGGTTTAATTCCTCATCTTCTATCAAAGTCATTAGATAATGTCTAAAGTTTATCATCAAAAAGTGGTAATATGAGCATATTATTTATAAATATAGTGAAACATTTCAGAGACTTGACAGTGACTGTCTCTGGGGAATAAGCCTCAGAGGATAGCAGGGCACTGTTATTATTCTTTATGAACTTTCAAATAATTACTTTTTAACTTTAAGAAAACTAGGTAAGCCTGGCCGGCGTGGCTCAGCGGTTGAGCATCAACCTATGATCCAGGAGATCAAGGTTCGATTCCCTGTCAGGGCACATGCCTGGGCTGTGGGCTCAGTCCCCAGTAGGGGGCGTGCAGGAGGCAGCTGATCATTGATGTTTCTCTCTCCCTTCCCCTTCCTCTCTCTGAAATCAAACAAACAAAAAACAAACATACCAACAAAAAAACTAGGCATAAATCACACACACCCAAAACAGAAACCTGGCCCATTTAATGTTTAACAAATGTTTTCACCCTCTCCTGTGGTTAGTAGTTAATCCAAATGTTCTACTTCAGTCTAGGTGACCTGTATTTCCCTTCCTTGCTTCCTGGTACACCTTCCTTTGACCTAGCTACAGCACTCAGCACATCCATCTGCCCCTATCAACTCCCACCTCTATTGACTCCTGTGGCTGCGCGCCCCTGGTTTTTCTATCTTTCTGACTGTTCTGTTTCCTCCTCCCACCTCTCAAACATGAGAATTCATTCCCCAAAACTCCTCATCCCCCCTTCCATCCTTTTTGTAATCCTCACCTAAGGGTATTTTTCCACTGCTTTCCAGAGAGTGGGAAAGAGAGAAACATCGACGTGTTGAGACACATCGACTGGTTGCCTCCCACACGCAGCCCGACTGGGGCTGAGCCTGCAACTCATGTACATGCCCTTGGCTGGAATCAAACCAGGAACCTCCTGTCTGAGGGCCAACACTCTAACCACTAAGCCAAACCAGCCAGGGCCCCCCTCCCGTCTTTTCACTCTATCTCTAGCAAGTTCTCACCCACCCTCATGACTTAATCCCACACCTCTTTGCAACTGACCCACAATCAACTTCTCCGGCTCTAGAAACGTCCGTTTCAGTTAAGCATTTCCACTGACAGACGCCAAGCTCCTGAATGCCCCATCTCCTCAAACTCAAACCTATCCTCCCGAGACTGTATTTCTGTCCATAATTTAGTCAAAACCTTGGTTCCTCCTTTTTCTCTCCCCCCATCCAGTTACTAAGTACTACTAGTTCATCCCCACATTCATTCCTTTCTTTCCAAGTGTTCTCCAGGTCATCTCCTCACACTTAAAACATTCTAACAGTCTCCTAACTGTAAGCCCCTTGAGATCCGAGGGGCTTGTCATCTTTATCTCCCACACCAACCTCAGGGCCTGGTACTGAGCTATAATAAATGGCCCCATCAGTCTCTGCCACCATACATCTAAAATGCTAATTTGTACATGATGCACCACCATTCAGTTTTAATGGCTTTTCACTGTCTATGGGACAAAATCTAAATTACTTTAACCTGAGGCTACTATTTAGTACTGTCCCAGTTAATGTCACTCGCTAGTGGAACCTCCTCTTTCATTCATCTACCAAGCAAGCATTGTACACCCAGGCACAATGCTAAGCCCTGAACAGACTGGAGGTACAACAAAGTCCTTGTTCCTTGTAACCTAGGATTGGTGTTCTGATACTCCTACCTGTGATGGCTCTCCATAAGTGCAACGCCTTCTCATCCTCTCAGTGTATGTAGTAGTCAGCACACATATGGATGCTCACAAAATGCAGAAATAAGGTTCCTTTTGGAAGCTGAAATGAGGTCAGACAGGTAACAGTACCAACAAACAACGTCTACCATTTACTGAGTTGCTCACTGCGCCAGGCATTGTGAGAAGCGATATTTCATGTCTTCATGGTCTTTTGAGAAAACCATTCTTGTCATGTGACCACTCAGGCTCCCAGGGAATTTGTGTCCATTCACTCAGCTAGTGGTAAATAAAAATCCAGATCTATTCCAAAGCCCAGATTTTAACTTAGGCTGAACTGCTCGATCCACTCCAATAGATGGCTTTTAGATGAGACCTGGTGACACCGAAGTCCAATGTGGCTAAGTTATTTTAGCTGTCGCTGTGGCATGACTGTAACTTCCTTCAAGGTAGGCTTATTTGCATCCCCAGTGTGACCAACAGTAGATTCCATATTTATCTATTGCTGCTAAAGTACATCATCATCATCATCACCACCACCCGCAAATGTTTAAAAAAAAACTTATTTGGGCAATGAATTATGCTAAGATACTTGGAGACCAAAAGATGTTCTAAGGTGATGCAAAAGGAAGTTTTATGATTTCTGAAACCCTTCCCTGATCCCAATTCTCTTTTGAGCCAGAGACAGGGAACTACACAGTGACGGGTCTGAAACAAACAGGACAAAATGAGCTCAGCCATAATAAAGGCCCTATCAATTCAAGCTTCCTGCAAGAGGTCTGGGCGATGCTGGTCAGCAGCCTGATGGTCCTTCAAGGTACGTTCAGATAACCCTTCAACACCCCAAGTGATGACATCTAGGTTATTTTCCACAAGTGTGGAAAGGAAGCCAAGTGGGAAAGGGAAATGCTCCTCAACCCCTGGCTGCCCACAGGAAAGCATCGAACCAATTGAGGGCAAAAGGGACTAAAGATTTCATACTAACTAGGGAAAGATGGGTGAATCAGACTTTCCTTTGGGTAGGAGGTCAGACTCAATAGGAAAGACCTGTGGGAGAGGCAAGTAAATAGAGCTGCTTCTATTCCCTAAATGAACAGAGGGCTAAAAGTTGAGGCCACTGTGTAAAAACAAACGGGAAGAGACAAGACGTGCTCTAGAGGAGAGATTTGAACAATGCAGCTCCTCGGCAAAGGCTGATGGCCAGACTGAGTATATTCAACACTTCTAGCTCAGTCCTCTGAACAACATTTATCATATCAGGGTTTTTCCCTATTAGACTGGAACTAACAATGCTTTGCCATCACATTTTTGCATAAAAATCAGATGCAGGTTTTTGCCTGTCCTTGGCATTCTAATTCCACTTTTATTTAGGCATTCCTCAAATCAATAAATATCCACCACTGGTTGGTTGTCACCAGAATGTAAGCTCTATAAATGCTGGGACTATGTCTTGTTTACCCTGACAAAACAAAAATACCAGGCACATGTAAGCTCTTAATAAATTTGTTTGAAGAATTTGTACAATGGGTTAGGCTTTACATGGTGATTCTAACCGCCTACAACCCTTTCAGGCAAAGGCTCCTGATTACTCATCAGGAAAACAGGTATAAAGAGGTTCAATGTTGCCCTGGTTCACAGAAATTAATACAGGTCCTTCTCACTCCTCTAACACCCTGTGTTCTCAGTAATAATCTACTATAATCTACAAGCACCTTCTCTCAACTCCTTCACCACCCTCCCCATTCTGAGACTACCTCCTCCCATTTCTAGAAAAAGGACCACCTAACACTCCCTTATCCCAACTCTTTAACTGCAAACTATCAAAAGAAAAGTGACCTTATGCAATCCTTGCGGAGGACCTGCCAAATGTAAGCCTATGCCAGTTTTCAAGAAGAAACTGAACACCAGGCAGTCTGACCTTCCATTTATTTTTTTAAGCAGTTTGACTCCTTTTAGACACATTCTTTATTATTAAATATAAATTCCCTCAGATGGTCAGGTTACTATTCATAAAACAAATTTTACTCCCTCATACAAAATAAAAACCCTAGAGTAGAGGAAATAAGTCTTGCCATTCAATCTACTACCACTTACTACCTCTGACTCCCAAGTTATGCAAGAGTAAAACAACTCTCGACTCGTCCCACCGTCAGGTGGAGAGAATGAAGTTTGATAGTTCATTCCTGTTCTTTACCCGCCCTCCCCCCGAGACTTACGAGAATCACAAGAGGCAGCATTCAGAAGGAAAAAAAGCATGTTTTCTCAGGCCTAGGGGATTGTACAGGTCAAGCATCATGCTTACACGTATCAAAAAGGAAGGAGCAACTTGGATCTGTGCCTTCCTCAGTCCACGACTACGTAAACTGAGCACCCCTGTCCTATCACCATGCCAACCATTCCCTACTACACATGGAAAACCTACCTTGAACTCTGAACGGGATCTGTTGCTTCTCTGATTGTCCTTTCTTCCAGCCAGGAGAGACTGATGGTTAGCTCCCTCCCCAACTCCACCAGAATCTTAGATTTGCTAAAGATCCCAACTGCAACCTCAGCAGTAAGACGCAATACATAGAACACATTCCACTTTCTCCTTTTCGGTTCCCTTTCCAGTCATGAGCACCTAACACACATCCCAGGATGAATCTGCATGGGGTATTATGTTACTATTGTAAGTTGTGTGGCAGTAATACAAACTTTTCTTTTTCTTTCTACAGCTCTGTAAGGGCTACATGCCAGAAGAGATTTTTTAAAAAGTCACAGCAAGATAAATATGTTTAGCTTGGTATCTTTCACATTACGATATGTACAGAGAAAAACAAAACAGTGCAAGGGAATATGCCAAGAATCTGGAGAATATAAAATAGGACAAATGAATGTATCCCTTCACCTCCCCTCCTCACTGCCAGAGCAAACCTGCTTTTCTTCCCACCTCAGTCACCATAAATAAAAAGAGCAACTCTCACAAAAGTGGCTGGGGTACAGTTCTCACTCAAACACTGGATACGTGTGTGTTTTTGTGTCCCAGAAGAACTTTTCCTCCCTCCCCTCCAACACAGTGAAATAAACAAGCAGTCAAACAAAGTGAGAACACCAATTTTTTGGAAGAAATTTTTATTTACCACTGAAGGGAAGAAAGAGGAAACAAGCAAAAGATAGGTAGGCTAGGAGAAAAAGATACCCAGATCCAGCACCCTGACTTGGCAGGAAAATAGAGGACATGGAGAACGAGCTTGGTGTCCCACCAGAGCATCCACAGAGCACCAATGCAGGAAGACTTGTGCAGGCCAGGTGCACCACAGATCACAACTGTCTACCCTCAGCTAAGTACTGTCAACATCTTCGGTCATTTCTCTTTTTATATAATTGCCCAAAGCAATATTTGCAGCCTTTTTTCTCCTAAATTCACAAACCCTCTTTCTCTTTAGACAGATGGCCTCTTGTCATAGGTAAACAAAGAGGATGGGGCAGGATATCCCTGATAGGAAGAACTACATGAATAAAGTGGTATGAACACAGATAATTTAACTGGAGCTAAAGAGCAAACTATCAAAAGGAAATGGATGCCTTACCTGTGATCCTTGGCCAGGATCTGCCAAATGTGGGAGCTAAGGTTTGTGGGAACACAGAGAGAGAAGACTGAAAGAGATGGGTAAGACCCTTATTAGTGATGGCCTTAAACCTCAAACTCAAAGGATTTTGGATTTTGTCTTATGAAGGTAAAAAAAAAAAACCCAAAAAACTAGGCATGGAGTCAAAAGACCTGGCTCTGCAACATACCAGCTACAGGTCCTTGGGCAAATGAAGTTTTGAAATATATACTACAAATAAGTAAATACTGTATTTCAATTGGATGTAGATTCTGGTATGACTAATAAAGACAAATTGATTTAAAAGTATTACTGAAATCATAGCAGCTTGTTAAGTATTTTTTCATCAAGATACTGAAAATACATCACCTTGTTGGGAAAGAATCTAATAATTTGGGGGGCCTTAAAAAATGGTACATCTGCCCAACCAGTGTGGTTCAGGGGTTGAGCGTAGGCCCAGGAACCAATAGATCACTAGTTCGATTCCCAGTCAGGGAACATGCCCGGGTTGTGGGCTCAATCCCCAGTAGGGGGTGTGCAGGAAGCAGCTGATCAATGACCTTTCTCTTTCATTGATGTTTCTCTCTCTCCCTCTCCCTTCCTCTCTCTAAAAATCAATAAAAACATATATATTTTTTAAATGGTACATATTATTAGAAAATGTAAAGAACCACAAGCCTACATCCCATGATTCACAGATATAAGTATCCTAGCTGAAAGAGGAAAGGCAACATATAGACTCCACTTCCATGGACACCTCTAAGTCTAATTGGCAAAACATAAAATTTGTATGTATAAGATCTTAGAGTTGGATGCATGTAATTCCTTTTGATTGACAAGTATGAGAGAGAGGTCAAAACCTCAATGTCCTGCCCAGCCGGGCAGGCTCAGCAGTTGAGCACTGACCTATAATCCAGGAGATCAAGGTTCAATTCCCAGTCAGGGCACGTGCCCGGGTTGTGGGCTCAATCCCCAGTCGGGGTGAGCAGGAGGCAGCCGATCAATGATTTTTATCATTGATGTTTCTGTCTCTCTCTCTCCCTCTCCCTTCCTCTCTCTCTAATCAATAGACATTTTTTTTTTTTTTTTTAAAAAGAAGAAACTGCATCTGTTCACAATGTCCCCAGGGACGTTTGTCTTTAAAAAAAACAAACACAAAAAACAAAAAAACCTCAATGTCCTTCGGATAAGACAGGACTCTACTCTGATCCTGGAAAATATCTCCAGTTGTATGCACTGTATTCTACCCATTCTATTTTAAACCCTTGGAGTGGCCCTGTGGTTCCCAGCCTGAGTGCTGACACACTGACATTACTACAAGTTACAATTTCCTCTCACAGGATTGCCACTTTAATGTTCACCCCATCAAATCTTCCCCCCAACTCCCTGGCCAGAACTTTGCAAGATTCAATTTGGAAACTCTCAATAAGAGAACTCTGTCCTGCTAGTCCCAACTCCCAAACCTCCATTGGTTTATTCTTTTAAACAGCACTCTGATCTTCCCACCTCTCCACCAGGGGTGAGACAGGGTTTCCCCCTGGTATCATCTATTCACCAGCCCTGTTCCTCCTCCTCCTAAAGTCTGTCTTCTGTCAGACATCAGTGGCCTGCCTGGATCAGCTCTAACAACCAACTCTGAAGTGCCCTTCAACTCCAAAAGCCCCAGACGCTGCTTTATTATTATTTGTAACAGACACAGACCGATTCCCTCCTCACGAGAGTGATATTTTTAATTTGTATTCCTTGAGGAAAAAGCACCTAGGCACCAGGGAGAAAGAAACTGAAGCATGCAAGTCATGAGAGAAGTCAATTGGCAGCAATAATTTATCAAGAAAAATTTTTTAAAACAATTATATTTGAGTTCAACTTTATAATACAGAAGCAATAGATGATAAACACCCTTTCCTCAAAAGCCTTTTATTCTCAACCTCATCAATGACTACACTTTTACTTCTACTGAATCCCTTTACCACACCATGTAACAGGGTGCTTGCCCAGGCCAACAGTGTCCCAAAACGGAGAACTGCAGAAACACAAGGTATGCCCAATGAGAAAACGAGACTGAGGCTCGTCCTCTACTGCACTACTGAGCACTGACCGCAGTGCCCACAGATCATATGCATTCTTCTTCCAGAGGGAAATGTGCATGTCTGTGTGCCTGTGAATATATACATATATACACATACATACATACGAACGTGCAACACAAAGACATAAAGAATTTTTCTAATAACCACTTAATCAAAGTGATACTTGTTGGGGGGAAAAGTGTTCCCCAAAAATCTTCCTTCTAACTTGAGAGTTAATTACTGGACCAGAGAGTACTGCTCAAGGAAACATCTAACAAGCACTTGCTCATTTGTTATGCAGCTAATGTTGACAACTAAAATTTATAATAAGCTAAGGAAGCTATCTGATTTATAGCCATTTCCACATCCTCCACCTAGAATAATCCCTTTTTCTTAGAAATTAATACTTTAAGGAAAAAATGAAGGAGCTATACCAACAGGGACAAAAATGTAATTCAGGATTCTGCAAGTTTCTCAAGTCTTCAGAGAACGGACAATAGAAACTTTGAAGGAAAATTAATGTTTTTACCAGGATTACTCCTTCTCCCTGCTCCAAACTCATTAGTTTAGAAACTTTCTAGATATCGGAGCTCTATCAGCTAAAAGTCACCATTCTGCCCTTCCCACCCAACTGCCCAGTTCTGTCCAGCCAGAATTAAACCATATGAACATGCCTTATACTAACCCATCTGGAAACTACCTGAGAAGCAATAATGAGTTGGAGGACAAAAAGGAGTTGCCCTATATAACCTCTCAACTTTCAAATCTACCAATTTCTAGGACATCTCTCCAATTTATGTGCCAGTTTTCTTCCCTCCTATTTCAGACCATAACAGAGAAGAGGAAGAGGAAGGCGGCATTCATGACTAAGATGACAATCACTTAGCTCTGCATGGGGCTCAAAGGGTAAGCCATTGAATATGAATGTGAAGGCCTCAAGTCCAAGGGCTCAAGATCTGAAATTGCAACAGTTCTCTCCTCTGACAATCAGAGAAAGCTGTCATCTCTTGACTCCTATTAAGACTCCAGATTCTGAAGTCTGTAAGCCATCTAGTTATAAAGGAATGAAACACCTGAAAAGTCTGGGTTATGTAGCCCTCTGCCTTAGGCACTATATCTGAACTGTGTTTGATATATTTAAGAGCAAGGCATTCCTAGAAACAAACTCTCAGCCCCAGACATGTGGTGTTAGACCAATGAATCTGCAAGTGTTTCCTCCTAGAATGGGAGGCATCTGACTTCCAGGGTAATTTAAATTG